TCCCGACGTAAATAGGGCAATTCGCACAGGCATCGATTGACTCAAGCCCCGAGGGGGATGAGACTCCGGTCTGATGGGCAGCTTCTGCCACCCGGACCTCTCCCCCCCCCACTTCAAACCATAACACCTTCCTAGCTCTTGTGCTTGGATTTCCTTTCTGCAGAAGCTGATGGGGAACAGACTGGTGCTCAGTGGTGGATCAAGTTACAGCTGGTGTGTGCACCTAGATCTCAAAGCTTGGAAATTTAGGTAACAGATGTGTTAGTAGGACTGCCTCGCTGTCTCTGATAACACACGTTCAATAGAGGCATATATCTAAAAGCCACACCTTGACAAATCCTGTCTTTCTCCTCAAAATATGAAACATGGGAAAGTTTTAAATGCATGAGGCATATTCCTGTTCTTTGTATTCACTACTGCGAAGTCTTGTTGTCAACTGCATTGCAGTGGCTGCTGAAATCAATTTTTCCCTCTTTCTTACTTTGCCTCCTCTGCCCATAGCTCCCTCATCCTTTTTTCCTTCCTAAAGTATATAGTGTTCCTATTTTAATAACTTAGCAACTTACAAACAATATATTAGCTTTAGAGCTACCATCAAAGTGTTTTGTTTGTTGGTTTGTTTAAACCAACTGTTCTGGCATTGTCCCATAAAAAACATAAACTGAGACTTAAAGGAAAAGAAATGAGTCTGCATTGCCTCTGTGCAGTACTCTTGAATGGGGCAATCTGTCTGTTATGGAGGTGTTGATTAAACTATGTAGCTAAAAATATTCTCCTTTTCATAAGTAGAGTCTCCATATTACTGCTTTGACTCTGTAAGATTTTCTACAGTTGCTTTAAATTAAGAATGTCCTTAACGAAGATAGAAACTGCTATTTAACATGTCTTATTGAAAGCTGTAGAGAATTTGTGCCACGCTGCTCACCAAACAAACTTTCCCAGCAGGGTGCTGCTCACCGGTTTCTGTGCTGCGTTGTGTTCTCAAGTGACATCTTGGAGCGTTGCAGGTGGTTTGGCACGCTTTTCTGCACTTCCAAGTTGTTTTTGCAGTATTCCTAAAGGTGCCAAAGACCTGGAAAACAAAACAAAACAAAAAGCTCCTTCGTATTTTTAGGACAGACAAAACTATCAAAACCAAAGAAGATAAAAAAGGATGCTGAAAATGAGGACCTGTGAGCAACTTGAATTGAATTTCACTGAAGTAAGAAACAAAAAACAAATCTCCATAATATTAGGTCACTGAGAATTAATCAAGATGCTTTTATTAGACATGCATGAGCTCGGCTCTGTTGTGTCTCTCCTTGCATGAGACGACTCCTTGAGTTACCTTGTAGCAGAGCCCTGTATTTGCAACCCTGCCCTGCATCCGCCTTCCCACCCTGTGATCCCTGAGCTCCCGAGGCAAGAGATGCTCCATGTGCCATCTGCAGCCACACACCTGTCGCACACGGAGCTCTGCAGCTGAGGAGAGGCTGGGGCCCCCGCCGGGGGGGCTTTAGAAAGCCTGTCTTCAGAAAAGCTCTGCTAGAAAGCAGGCCACTAATCTCTGTCTCTTGATGTATATATATATAATATGCAGGATACAAGCTATTGTAATATGCATGCATGATGAATATTTCATCAGTATATTAATAACTGTCTGAAAATACGTGGTTGGTTTTGTTCATCTTTCAAAATAATTTGTTCTAAATGTTCGTAAGTAAATATATCCAATTACATTTGTCTTTTTTTTTTTTCCCAATCAACCTAAAAATGCAGTCTGTTTGTGGTGCTTTAGTAGAGAAAAGGTTTGTAAAAATATGAAGATCTTTCCAGCCAATTAAAGGAAGACATTTGATTAAATAAAACCAAACTTTCTTGCAATGTTTCTTTCAGATGCAGAATGATCTTGTCAGATTTGTTGTGTTTTATAAAAACAGAAATTTGAATTTGACCTCTGTAACAATACATTTACTGTAATGGCATACGAAAAGTGGGCTTTTTATTCTCATTTCAATATTGTGTACGACTGTGTTGACCCCTGTGGTTGAACAACATATGAATCTCCCCAGTTTCATAACTGCCTTCATTTTACCAGAGCAAAACAAAGTCTGTTCAAATGCTCTGATGCTCTGATTTAATGAAATAGAAAGTACCACGTATTATCAGAAATTTGCGTATGTTTCAGGCTGATCTGGGTGCACTCCAGAAATTCTGTACGTCCTTGCATATGTTTCATCCTTCTTGTACAACAGTTCAAATACATTATTAAAAGCTAAGTGGCCTACATGTCTGTTCAGATTCATCGCTTGCTGTTTCTTCCACTTCACTGTTTCAGTTGCAAAGCTGAAGGACAGCCATGTCTGAATACAGTATGCAGTGATGAAACCAAGTGGTTGGTTTTAAAAGCTGCTTTCATTTATGCATATAACAACCTAGAGAAGGGCTATGCCATTCAGCCATTTTTATGCTTACGGAGCAGTACATCGTTACAAAAGCAGCGGTGAGAAGACTGCATCGCTTTTTGCAGCCACACATCTTGCTGCTTCAGGATATCGGCAGTGTAGTTGGGTTTTCCCAGTCCCTGGATGAATTATTCAGGCTCTTGACATCAGAGGTTTGTGCTAGCGGATTGGCTGGTGCTCGGATAATAAAATCTTTCCTCAGGAAAACAGTGGAGAAGGATGATGGCAGTGAGACCAGCAGAACTGCTACTTCCAATACAGCTGGCTTTGTCTGGCTGTGGCATCTCTGCAAGAATATATAAAGATGTTTTTAAGGTTTGGCTTCATGTGAATTCTCCGATAAGAGCAGGTGGAGGGATTTGTGTAAGAGGCCTGCGTTTCCAGTGAAGGAAAAAAATCAGATTGTTCTTGAAAAAATACTTCTGGCTATATTCTAAAGAGACGCTGAGCACTACGCAAGACAGGAGTAGCAGCCGCAGCA